TCACCCGTGGACGTAAGCACATTACCGAACTACATATATCATTATGTTGTGGTTGGTTGTCTCTTTCTTTTGTATTTGTTTATTTGTCTTTTTCTTTTGTGTTTGTTTCTTCTTTCTAGTTTTTATTGATTGTTTTTCGTTTCTACATATTGGATGTTGGAAAACACTCGAATTGGTCATCTCGACATCGAGATGTATGAATGTAAAAAATAAAAAATATTTCGAGTATGCAAAACAATATACCTTGCAATATGTTATTGGACCATCCATTTCCAAGATTTCATATGTTTATAGATCTACTTGATTTGAACCATTCGAAGAGTTTAAAATTTTATAGATAGATAAGAAAATCAATTATCAAGCCATCCTAAAAAAGTTGATATCAAAATTATATTTATGATAAAATTTAGAGGTATGCCTTAATTGCATTGCCCTTATCCAAAATGCCAAATAAAATAATGACAATTTGCATCACCATATCACAATTACCATTATGGAAAATTACATTTCATAGAAAGGAATAAATTATTAAAAGGGTGCAGTTTGTATAGACTCGAGGCTCTAAACATTTAAAGTAATGCTTATCTTCAAATAGTTTCGAAAAATGTGGTTTCAATATTCGAAATCTTTGTGATAGCATTAGAATATATGTTTATCTTTAATTATAAAATTTAAAACTTCAAAAATAATGTAGATTGAGCAAACCTATGAAAACTTGAAAATCTTGAAAATTGACAATCAAAAAATGCGTTAAGAGATGCACTGTTTTTAAAACTTAGATCCATTTTTTTTCTCATGTTCATACATCTTGATGGTGAGATGGTCAATTTTAGGATCTACGGTCATCAAAACAACCTGTTCTAGAGAAATTTTTGAAATAGGCTCTAATTTGATTGTTTAGAGCCTTGGCTCTAAATAAATTTTTTCCTTTTTAAAATACCCATGAGCGTTGCACTATTTGCCAGTTTACACATGCTCAACTATTCTAAATCATGACCATGTGTATTTTCATGAGTATTTTAAAATTAAATCACATCATAACTGTAAATTAATAAATAATGTATCTCTAATGGGTATTTTGATAAATTTTCAAATGAAATACTGCAAGGTTTTAAAGAATGAAGTCTGGTTTTGGGACAGTGGTTGTCATACTTCCCCTACAAACATAGAAGATGTATGCTTCCCCTACTATCTAACCATCAAATTTTGATCAAGTGAGCCACTCACCGTTTCAGAGTATTCTATTTTTAGATTTTTAATACAAATTGTATGAATATGAAATTTGGTACTTGCCATCGCACCTATAAATATTAAAAATAATTGTTCGATAAAATATAATAACCAAAATACCTCTTGAAACTTTTGTATTTTGATTATTTTATTTTATTGGAAATATTTTTTTTTATATATTTTTTACAAGTGCGACTTTAATAGAGGATTGGATGGTCAAATTTTGGTGTCAAAATATTTATATATAAAAAATTAAAATAAAATAGTGCAGAGACGTGACATTGTGATTGGGACAATCTTGGCCATCCATTCAGAATGGACGAGTGAATATAGGGAAACATATAAGTTTTATGTTTTAGGGAAATATAGAAAGCTTGCCCTATGTAAAAAGGTGCATTTTGTATAGAGCTGAAGCTCTAAACAATCAAAATAAGTGTACCTTCAAATAATGTAAAAAAATGTAGTTACAATATTAGAAATCTTTGTGATAGCCTCAAAATATAATTTTCATATTTAATTATAAAATTTAAAGCTTCAAAAAAGTGTAGATCGAGCAAATCTATGAAAACTTGAAAATCTTGAAAATTGATGGTCAATTATAAGATGCAATATTTCTAATTTTGAAATCCGTTTTTTTCTCAAGTCCATGCATCTTGATATCGAGATGATCAATTTGAGGATATTTGAGCATCGAAATAACCCCTTCTAATGAAATTTTTGAGGTGGGCTGTAATTTGATTGTTTATAGCCTCGACTATGTATAAACGTTTTCTTTTAAAAAATAATTGATTTATTTATGGATATGGTTTCTATGCGGCCATGTGGAAATGCATGCTTATTAATAAATCTATTTTTTAGATGGATTTTTTTACTTAATTTTTAAAGACATGATATCTAACATGGAGATCATGAATATGAAAAAATAAATAAGTTTTTAAAAATTTAAAATAATAATTCTAATAAAAAAGTATTTGGGCCATTAGTTTCTATTGTTTTTAGATGGAACACTTTACACTTTTTTTGACCGCATACGAAGTTATGTGGTCTAGCTGGCATGAAACAATTTTATTTTATTTATTTAAAAAAATATCAATGCAGGCATGCCCGAATCAACCAATTAACCGTAAGATCTAAAGGAAATGTTGGTTGTAAGTGGACACATGCACCCCCTAACCCATGCAACATCTATTTTAAGATGGACGGTTCGAGAGAGGGCACCCAAATGAAAGGTGCAAAATTTCTTAAATTTTTTAAAAAACTTCAAAAAAATTATTTTATTTTTTAGACTCAAGAATCATAGCTAAGATAATGAATTTCTAAAAAATATTTGGATCTAAAATCCATCTCAGTGGAGGACCGCATATGTATATGCGAGTCGAGTCTACGGACTCATCCAAACCTCGCTCATTTTAAAAGGGGTGAGGTTTCTATAAGGCGGCATTCTTATCATGTAGAAATACATCCCTTTATATTTTGCCGGCAGATGTAATTTTGGTTTTGGAAATTTAAAATTTCAGTAATAGTATTAATCGAGTAGATCTATAACTAATAAAAAATCTTAAAAATAGTTAGTTCATATAATTTATTTGGCACTACTTTAAAAACTTAAAATTCATTTTTTTTTGGATGCAGTTAGCATGCGGTCAGCCTGCAGATTATAGAAATGTGGGCTTGGTAATAAGTATATATTTTAAATATAAATTGATCCTAATCTAATTTTTAGAGAATATCTAATCTTTATCATGGAGATCATGAATAGGAAAAAATAAATAGATTTTCAAAACTAGAAATAATAATTTGGAAAAAATTTATATAAAGTGTCAACCTTATACTGTAGAAGTAAAGTGCACTTAAAAAACCTATCGAAATAGGTTGTTTCGTTATTAGAAAATTCTCCAATTGATTATCTACGATATATATGGACAGGAGAGAAGAAATGAATTTCATTACACATTGTCTAAACTATCAATTTTCAAGATTTTTTTGTGCTAATAGATATACTAGATTTGCACAATTTTTTGACCTTTCAATTTCATTATAGTGGTGAAAAATATACTTTTAGGTTATGATACGAGTTTTGGGACTGAAACACCTTATACAAACTTCACCAATTAAAAAAACATGTAGACCACCATTGTTTTAAGATGGATCACTTATTTACATCCATTTTTAAAATAGATGTTTTATACCTCGAGACCGCAGGTTGTACAAATGCAATCAAGCTTGTATGAAACAAATGTTTTTTTTGTTATTTAATTATGTACAAATGAGATTTGAAATGCACCGTAATTTAATAATATTTAATTAACACCTTATACACGAGTTAGTGCCCCCGAACCTAGAAGGTTACAACGCAGACGGCGAGTAGCAAAATGACACCTGTCATTTATGCCACGTCCGTAGATTTCATTGGCTCCTTTCACTCATGAAAGTTCCAGTACACGGCTTGAGTGGGGAATTGCCCGAGAAAAAGGTTTTTCCAATATTTATTAAAATAACCCTACTATTGCATAAATACCGAAAATACCCTCCCCCTTCAATCTCCCTAAGAAACCCTAATTTAGTAAAATCTGGAACCAAAGTAATAACAAGCAATGGTATTTTAGTTGCATTTGAGCTATACCATATCAAAAAATATTATTTGCTAATATTTTGTCTTGCCTTTATTTTTTTTTTTCATTAAGATGAATAGGTATTTATCGAGTTTTAAATAATTTGTTTTTTTCAATTTAAGGGAAAGTGCACTTACATGATGAACTATCTAATATTTTACTCATTTTTTGATATGATAAGGAGTATATACTATGAGACATTTTTATTTATGATACAAAAATGTTAAAATTAGTGTTAACTATTGGAGGTAGATTATGACATATGTGTTGCAAAGCTTAAGAAGTATTTTTTTTGGCCTTGAGTTTAATCAATGATATGCTTTTGGTTGCTCGATTTTATATCTAATAGTTAAATGTGGTTGTGGCCTTATTGTGTGTGCTAAAAAAAAGTGGTCTTATCGTATTTTTCCCCCTTTAACAAAATCCATCACAATACATGAGTTCATGAGTTGAGACACTTAAAAATAATAAATGTCAGATAATTGACGCATTAGGTTTGTTTTATTAAATTTTCATTCATTTAATATGATAAAAAAAAACGTACATTTACTCTCGAAAGAACCAAATTTACTATTAAAAATTCATTAAAATACACATTAGAGATGAAGCATTTAATTTAATTTTTAAAAAAATTATAAAAAATTTGCACATGAATTGGAATAGCTGGAAAAGATAAGATTTTAAATAGTGGAAGTTATAGGCTGTTTCAGTAAATTTATAAAATTTTTACCAAAATAATTATAAGAGATTAATTAATTTATATTAACCCACATAATTTATTTAAATTTTAAACGCCAAATGTGATTATAAATCAGAACAGCTGCAAATGTGTAAAATAACAAATAGTGCATATCTCTAAAGTAATCTCATCTTAATAAATATATACAAAATTTACCAAAATAAGTATCATAGTTTAATAATTTTATATTGACCCATATAATTTATTTACTTTCAAACGCCAAAGTTGATTATGAACTAGAATGGCTGCAAGGTAAAATAACAAAATAGTTCATCTCTCTAAAGTCTAAAGTAATCTCATACAAAATATATTTGCTTCTTAGGTATTTCCAGTGAAGATAAGGGCTTTATGGACATCTAATATTAAAGTTCAACTATAAATTGTTTTCCTCCTCTCACTCATCAAACAAATGCCTTTCTCTCACTATTAAGATTTTTGAGCGAGAGACCCGCGAAATTTCCATTGAGATTTCTGGAGAGGGTAAAACTCCTGGCAGAGAGAGAGATTGTACAAGGTTAAATGTCTGGTAAATTCAGAGGCAGTGAGAAAAAAACCAGGAAACTAGAGAGAGAGAGATTGTAGAAACTTGGTAAATTCAGAGAGGCAGAGAGAGAAAAAACCAGTCATTCAGAGGCAGAGGGAGAAAAATCCAGGCAACTTGAGAGAGAGAGAGAGAGGCCCATCTCTAACAATGCTGCAAGCCAAACTCTTTCTCCACTTGGGTCTCTTCCTCCTCCTCTTTTGCACCAACCCCACTCCCTCAAATTCAGCGGTTTGCAGCATAGATCTAGGTTCAGAATGGATGAAGGTTGCAGTCGTGAACCTAAAGCCTGGTCAATCCCCAATCTCCGTAGCCATCAACGAGATGTCAAAGCGAAAATCGCCAGCTCTCGTAGCCTTCCACTCTGGTGATCGCTTAGTGAGTGAAGAGGCCTCGGGCCTAATTGCTCGATACCCCAATAAAGTTTTCGCTCACATTCGCGATTTTCTGGGTCGCCCATTCAAATTCGTTCAGGAATTAATGAACGCTATGTATCTTCCTTATGATATTGTTGAAGATCATAGAGGAGCGGCAGCCATTAGAATCGATGATGGGGTCACTGTGTATTCAGCTGAAGAATTGTTGGCCATGCTTTTGAAATATGGTGTTGGGTTAGCTGAGCTCAATTCGAAAGCATCGATTAAGGATGGGGTCATAGCAGTGCCACCATATTTTGGGCAAGCTGAGAGGAAAGGTTTATTACAGGCTGCTCAGCTCGCTGGGATTAATGTATTATCACTGATTAATGAGCATTCGGGTGCTGCTCTACAATATGGGATTGATAAAGATTTCTCAAATGGGTCGAGACATGTAGTGTTTTATGACATGGGGTCGAGCAGTACTTATGCGGCTCTTGTGTATTTCTCGGCTTACAATACGAAGGAGTTTGGGAAGACAGTCTCAGTTAACCAGTTTCAGGTAAGAAAATGTTTATTTGTAATTACCATTTGCATATTTGATTGCATTCTGGAATTTGGATAATTTCAAATCTTTTTTAGTTATTCAAAATTTCTCAAAATCATGTTGACGATTACTAAGTTCTGCTCATTGTCGAAGAGGTTGGTCTAATTGTGAATTTGGTACCCTATCATTGAACTTGAAGTCACGAACTTTGCTTGATAATTATTTTTGTTGATATGAATCGTACTGTTATTTGGAAACGCTTTTCTCATTTACTTTGAATTAATACCTGAGTATTCCAATTTAGTTTGAGTTTTCTGATCACTTCCTTGAATTTTAATCGAATCTTATTTGATTTTGCTGATCACTACCTTGAATTTGTATGTAATATTGTTTGAATTCGCTGGTCAGTTAAAGTCGAATCTAATCTTGTTGGAGTACATATGAGAAGTACATTTGAGGTGATCTCATGTCAATTGAATTTGAAATAGTCCAATCACTCTTAGCGAAAGTTATATTTGGGTTTTGTGAGTAGAAAAGAAATAAACTGAAGTTGGCTAGTCATCAATTAAAAATTTCGGTCCTTTTTTTCCCTTATCCCGATGTTTCAGCCTGGTAGATATTACAGTCAATTTACACATGTAAGGTTCTTATGAATTTATTCCTTTTTTTGCTTGTTTGACTTTTGAGAATCTTTAGAGCCATACAAGGACATTACAGGAGAAACAGCATTGAAAGAAAAAACCCTCTTTGGTGTGAATACAGTGGTGCTGATTGATCGATTATTACAAAAACAGCCCCAAATTGTTAAGTAGTTCCTTTAAATAGTTTCCTTTCGTTTAGGGTTCAAGTGAGGAAACAGGCTAATGATCATATATAGAAACGAGAAAACAGGACTTATTTGGTTGAGCTTATTCTTGAACAGAAGATTGCTTCGCTCTCTGGGCGTAAAAAGGAATGATGCACATTTTTATTTTTATATATGCTGCCTAGATTCTTCACGCTAGGCTTGTACCCCTATTGGGCATACTTAGACACGTGGTGCAGCATGGACGCAGCTGGATTCTCTCACATCAAACCTATAGTTTATTAACCATATTTTTCGCCTAGCTGTACCAGAGTCAAATACTTGAGTTCCTATTATAACTTTGCTGGATTCTTGGATTCTCCTTGATTCTAATGTGTGTGTGTTCCCGTATGGCTGAATCCTATTTCTTAAGGCATAAAGAAACTGACTCCCCGTACCAATATCTAAAAGTAACAACCATACCCATATTCATGCAACTTAGATTTTTTTGATTTGGGGATGTCCACTAATCCAATAAACTATAGAAAAATCATGCTCCACTAATCTTAATTCTCGTCCCATAAAAAAGAAAGTGTCCATTGGACGATCGCAATCGATTGAAATGATGGATGCTGATGGAGAGAGGGGGACCCGCCATTGGAGTCAGTTATGTCCTCTGAGGACACTTTCTTTCCATCACCATCTTTCACTTCAAACAGTAAAGACCCAATGGATTCTGAATTATCCAAAAAAATGGGGGGAAAAACACCCCAATGGAGTATGGTTTCTCCATAGTCTACCCGAATTTAATGTGCTTTCTCCTTTCATTAGTAGACTGTTCCTTTTTTTTTTTTTTTAATGTTATGCTTCCTAAGTAAGCCGGATTGTTTTTAACTGGTTTTTTTCTTTTATTGACACAATGTGGGTGAGATGTTCACTAAGGAAGTAGTTGATTTCTTAAACATTTTTGGTCTATTTTTTGGGGATAATCATATATAGGCTTGAGGAAGGTTAATGTTGATTACACCATTTATCGGATTAGATTGTCTCCTTCTCCCTATTTCATATCTACTTTTGAAGTATTTCCTATTTGTTCATTTTATGCACAATGTTTATGCTTTGGTTGCCATTGGTTTTAATGTCAATCGAGCATGGGTAGCGGGTTGTCCTACTGTAACTAACTGTAATTGCTACAATTAGAATGAGAAGACCTTGGCGCATTTTCTTCAGTGTTTCCTTAGATGTGGCGTTATTCAGTTTTTCACCACCCGCTCTATTGCAAAAGCTCCTAGCAGACACTGCTGGATTGACCACGAACACAATGATAACCAAATCACTTGAAAGAACTCATATTAAGCTCTTTTCAAATGCAGTCTTAGTTTACCCATTTACTTTGCAATGTCATGTGGTTTATACATATATTGTATGTGGGTGCAGGTCAAAGATGTAAGATGGGTTCCTGACCTTGGTGGGCAAACTATGGAGCAGCGATTGATGGAATATTTTGCTGATGAGTTCAACAAGCAAGTTGGAAATGGGATTGATATAAGAAAATCTCCCAAGGCCATGGCTAAACTCAAGAAGCAGGTTAAACGCACCAAAGAAATATTAAGTGCCAACACTGCCGCTCCCATATCAGTCGAATCCATATATGACGATCATGATTTCAGGTATGCTGATTCTCTAAAACAAACTTGCCAGCTTTTACATCCTTTTTTTCTTTTTTCTTTTGTTGAAGTTGAAATCGTGGTACTCCCAGTGTTCGCAAAATCGAATCGGAACGGTTAACCGGACATGGGCCCGAAAGCAATTTAACCGGCCTAACCGGTAAACCGACTGATTCAACCGCTCTAACTGGGCAAGTCCCGTACGATAAAAAAAGTGTTAAAAAAAAAAAAAGATACAAAAAAAAATCTATTAAAATATGAAAAGCATATAAAAAATGTGATTAAACAAAACACACTTAAATGAAGTTGAAAATTAATGGAAAAAAATGGATTTTAACGAATCGATTTGTGCCTAAGGTTATTTTTAAAATTTTCTGAAAAAGATGGGAAAATATCAAATTATCATTGACCAAAATTTTTTTTAATCATAATGTAAAGAATATTAAAATAGTGTTAAAAAAAATCAACTTGACCAACTCATTTTTTTTAAAAAAATGAAGAAAAAAAATTAAGTTATATATACTATAGGCCCTTCTTTTAATCAACCAAATAGTAAATGGTGTATTGATTAGTGGGTCTAATAATAGAGGAGAAATAGACTTGACTAAAAAAAATGAAGAAAAAATTAAGTTATATATAATACATATGCATTTCTTTTAAAAACGCATGATAACCTAAAAGAAAAAACGCTGGAAGCAAGATTCAAACCATGATCCACATACAATGTAACTATCGACACTAACCAATAAACTATTTATGTAACTATCAACACTAACCAATAAACTATTTTAAGTTTGAAGTAATATTCTATGTAAAGTTTACATCATAATATCATAATTTAGGTGATATAAGTTCACGTAGGAGATACAAGTTTGAAGTCATGTTATATCTAAAGTTAAATTAACGATAACTTAACGTTTAGTTTGAAGTCATGTTATATCTAAAGTTAAATGAACGATAACTTAACGCAAAAACGCTCGCAGCAAGAATCGAACCATGATTCAAGTACAATATAACCGTTAACGCTACCCAATGAACCATTGTAATATGCTTGATATAAGTTTGAAGTAATATTATATCTAAAGTTTAAAAATATCGGTTGACCACCAAAATCACCCAAAACGGGAACCGGCCATTGGCCGGTTCCAATCTAACCAGGTGGTTACCGGTTAGATCGGCCGGTTTTGCGAACACAGACTCCTATACACACACTTCCTATGCATTCGGATTTTATAACTTGGATTGATTCACCATGTACACATTTCTATTATTGGGCGTATTAGGAGTTTACTTTCTTGACTTATTTTGGTAAGGGAAAGTACACCATAATCTAGTCAGCCAATGGTTTCATCTTTGAATAGCCAAGACTTGTTGATGCTAGGCGAACTCGGTTCAGTATGACTTGGCTTGGTGCTTGGTGAGTCCCAAGCCCAGTAAGACTTGTGAAAAAAGTGAATGGACCCTGGAGAAATGCAGTCCATTGTGTCATCACTATCCATTGAGATGATGGATAGTGATGTAGAGAGAGCGGGGCACATCAGGACATGGCATGACCCCAATGGTGGGACCTTGTCTCTATGTCTCCCTCTAGCAGTTCAGTGGATGGTGTTGACCAAATTAGCCATTATTTTCCATTATTTACAGGATTGTGTAATACTTTCTCTTTCAATAAATTTTAAATCATTTTTTCTAATAGGTATTAGGCATGCATAGGCCATTCACAGCGTTGCTTATTCCCTTTATTGGGTGAACAAAGGTTAAATATATGCTATCAGGCTTTACTGTTTATATTGTTTTAGTAGCTACTGGGATGTTGCTAGGTGCAAGACAGGGCCGTCAAAAATTCTTTTGATATTCTTTTTCCTCCCAGGAGCACAATAACTCGTGAAAAGTTTGAAGAGCTTTGTGGTGACTTGTGGGAACGAGCCCTTTCACCTGTTAAAGAAGTTCTCAAGCATTCAGGCTTGAACGTTGATGATATATATGCAGTAGAGCTCATAGGTGGAGCAACTCGTGTTCCGAAAGTGCAGGTCAATGCTTCAAGTTCTTTGTAGTTAGCATACTTATTGTAGTTTTCAAAAATTAAAAAGCCAACATACTTCTTCTTCTACTACTACTCTCTCTCAACTACGAAATGTCAATTGTATAAGATATAAGCTACATGCCAAGCACAAATTCATTCGTGAGCAGTTCTTTCCTATTCTGGTTATTGCAAAAATGTCCTTCTCAGTACTATATTTTGTATTGAGTTAGGTTGCTTTTCTTATATTTGTGATACTTTGAACAATTCAAAGCTCAGTTCTGACCCTTTTTCTGTTCTTTTGCAGGCAGTGCTTCAGGAGTTCCTTGGAAGGAAGGATCTAGACAGGCATCTTGATGCTGATGAAGCAATAGTTCTAGGGGCAGCTCTTCATGCTGCAAACTTAAGCGATGGAATTAAGCTTAACCGTAAGCTTGGAATGATCGATGGATCTACTTATGGTCTGGTGGTTGAATTGGAAGGACTGGGCCTTTTGCCAGATGAACTTAATAAACAACTAATTGTACCAAGGATGAAGAAAATCCCCAGTAAAGTAAGTGATCACCTTTTCTTAAGTTTTAATTATCCTTGACATCGATAAGCTCACCCTAGAATCCAGTGGACTAAGAAACCATGATAGACTGGGGACATCACCTTCATATGAAATTATGGACAGTGACGAAGAGCATGCAGTTTCCACTAGAACAGGATGTCAACCCAATGTTGGGTTCCACTCTCTTGATCACCTCCATAGTTTCATTGGACATGATGGCGATGGTTTTCCATAGTTAAATGACATATTCTTACCTATTATTCGTAATGGATTCAGTCTTCTTAGTTTGCAAGATCCTAACTTCCCGAGCTCTGAATTCCTTATCCAGATTTTCAGGTCTATTAAGCATGACAAAGACTTTGAAGTCTATTTAAGTTATGATACTTCCGATCCATTACCACCAGGCATATCATCTGAGAAGTTTGCTGACTACCATGTTTCTGGTTTGACAGAGACAAGTGAAAAGTATGATTCATACTGCTTTTTTATGAAGAATTTTTGGATTATTGAATACTTTTTCAATGATTTATTCTCTTTTGATTTTTGCAGTCTGTTTCATTGATCTGTTTACATTTTATTTTAACCCATCCTGATGAGAAGGGAGAGTATATGGGCATTCGGAAATCACGAGCATGGTCCTTTTGGGTTATCATTGTCTGATGAAGTCATGAGTAGTGATGGAGAAGGAAAGTGTGAACCAACTATGGGGATATGCCCTGGTTTTTTGGTCAGCCACTTCCTCTTCATCACTGTCCATTTCACCGGGCAATGGTAATTGATTTGTAGCATACTGCCCTTTGAATCATATCATGCAGTAAATAATGATATATCTTCCCATCCATTGCAGGTATGCTTCTCGGAACCTCTCATCTCCTATAAAGGCAAATCTTCACTTCTCTCTTAGCAGAAGTGGGGTGCTCTCTCTTGATCGAGCTGATGCTCTCGTTGAAGTTTCGGAATGGGTAGAAGTTCCTGTGAAGAATTTGACCATGGAGAATGCCACAGTATCAACTCCGAATGTATCACTTGAAGTTGAAACAGGCTCTCAGAACAGTTCAGAAGGAGTCAAAGAAAATTTGAGTACTGAGGGCATAAACAATGCTTCTAATACAGAAGGGCCAAGTAATACTGAAGCCGTTATGGAAAAGAAACTGAAAAAGCGGACTTTTAGGGTTCCACTGAAGGTGGGTCTCAGAAATAGCTCCTTTGAAGATCATGAGTATTATTTGGTATCGGTATTAATATATGTATGCAGTTCAAGTTTTCAGTATTCCACATTATTTGTCTGGAAGTTTCTCCCATTGCATCATTGTATTTTTCTCTGATAAGGTATCTGTACATATTTCATTTGACTGCTTTGTTGTGAAATATAGGTAATTGACAGAACATCAGGTCCTGGAGCATCTCTTTCTAATGAGCATCTTTCAGAAGCAACTGGTGGATTAGCGGCATTGGACAAGAAAGATGCAGACCGCAAGAGGACTGCTGAATTGAAAAATAACCTCGAAGGATATATATATGCTACAAAAGAGAAGGTACATGCTACTAAATCACAATGTACTGTTCCAACTCCCTTTCTACCCATATGGCCAGGTTACCTGGAGTTCCACATTTAGCATTTAGTGTTTATCCATGGTTTCTTGTTTGCACCAGTGGTTAAAAGCCTTAGTGCTTGCATTATAGACTTGATAGTTGATGGGTCTTGCCTAGTGTTTGCAAAATCGAACCGGAATGGTTAACTAGACATGGGACCGGGAGCAGTTAGAACCGGAACCGGACTAATCGGGCGGTGGATTGGACTAACCGGTCCTGTAGATTTTATTTTTAAATGGGTCAAAAAGCCCCCAAAAAAATAAAAAAAAAATAAAAAAAATAAAAAAAAGATTAAGTGTATACTATCTTATTACCTACATTTATCTTACAAAACAAAATTTGAAACAACTTTTTATATAAATTAATATATGAATACTATGGAGATATGCAAAACAATTTATAATTTGACATTGATTCAATTGATGGAGTTACAAAGTCCAACTAACAATAGCTAGTAGTAATGAGAGTGGTGAGGGGGGTCAGGGTACTGTTGTGTCTTGCTACTAGGGTTCACTAGGCAAAAAATCTGAGTAAGGCCTGGTTAAGTCATAGCTTCACAAATAACAGTCAACACACAAATTTTATAAACAGAAGAATCTCACATGTCTGAAGTAAATGAGCAAAAAAACTAAATGATTAATATGAGGCTTCGTAGTTTTGCAAATAGCATAACAAAAGATAATTAGAATGTAAAAAGTAAAAACTGAATACTGGGTAGCATTAAACATTAAATACTTTCCATATCAACATAGAGAATGGACTAATTTAGGTGGACTAAATTTTGGAACTTATGTTCGAACCCACATGAAAAGAACCATAAATAAAATTTCATTAACATGCATCAACTAAATCACAAAACCAATTTCACTTAGCTAGAAATAAAAAGAAAGGAGCATCAGATATCCAATTTCATAGTAATCAAAGCAATAAAAATACACAGAAATACAATTCGTATGAAAAAAGATGCAATATTTTTCTCCACATAAAAAATATTGAAAAACAAATACGTGAAAGCTTACCCTGTTTTTTTCCTCCATCTCTAAATATAACCCATCTAAAACCAACAAAAAATGACCCCAAAAAAAACCCAAAAAAAAAATGCACAATTAATGCCACTTTTCTCACTGCAACTGCCAATTAAATCACAAAATCATAATAATGGGTCAGAGTAGCAACTAAAAAAAACATGATTTTATAATACTGAAAATTTCAGTCTGAAATATAAAACAACCCAACGCTTTAAAAATTCAAAAAATAACTATTAATTTGGGTTGGAGCTTAACCTTTTTTTTCGAACTCAGATGAAGCGCTAATCTATAAACATCGAGCCCCAAATCTCTGATTTTCGATGAAATCAGGAGTTCAATCGTCTTAGTAGCTTTGTCATCTATAAAAGCCCCCAATTTTGATTAGATTATAGTCAATGAACTCTGTTGTATATAGTTACACAGGATTAGATTATACTGTGGATTTCCTTTTTCACTAAAACATCCTTGGTTGTTTGTCTTTTACATGGATACACAAAGGTTTTGAGTTGTTTGTGTTTCTCATAGACATAGCCTAATGAGTTGGGTCACCTTAGTTTGGGTTCAGATGTATGTGGAGGACCTAAACATGTTTTCCATCTGTTGGACATATTAGTCCTTGTGATGTGATAAGTAGTCTTTGTGATGTTTCTTATCGCTTCATTCTTCTTCCTTTTGATTCTCTTGTTGAACCATGTCCTTGACATTTCCTTTGTTTTTTCTGATGCCAGCTAGATGCCACTGCAGACATTGAGAAAATCTCCACTGAGCAAGAGCGTCTATCCTTCAAAGAAAAACTTGATGAAGTAAGTTATTGTCTTCTTTGTGAATTTTAGTTTTCAGCTCATTTATGCTGGTATTTTCTTCACCATTTGAATCTATTGCTTTAGGTGCAAGAATGGCTCTACACTGATGGCGAGGATGCTCCTGCAAATGAATTCCAAGAAAGATTGGACTCTCTAAAATCTATCGGAGGTCCGATATTCTTCAGGTTTGTCTTTCTGCCAGTGTGCACAAGTTCCTTCATATGAGCATATAACCACTTCCGATCAACCCAGATGTTTCTCTTTTGCAGGTTGACTGAGCTAAGTGCAAGACCTGCAGCAACTGAACTTGCTCGAGTATACATGGGCGAGCTCCCAAAGGTAAGTTACACATATATTTGTTGTCTTTGTGAGATGTGAATGCAACATACTTAAGGCTGGGTATAAGAAGCATGTAATGGTATAAAAGTGCAATAAAAATGCTGCTATAGCAGTGAGCGAGGTGTTCTAACATTGTACTGGCCTGTTTAAAGTTGCAGTTCCATTGCCACATGATGGAAAGAGTTGGCCTCTTTTCATCTATACTGTTCTTTAAATAATAGAGCTTGGCACCCATTGCATTGCAATACTTTAAATTGTGTTGCGGTGCCTGGCAAATGAAAATCTAGTTATGTCTGAAAGTTTTAATCGTTGCAGATTATAAGTGAGTGGGAGAAGAACAAATCTTGGATACCCAAAGAAAGAATTGATGAGGTATGTTATCTACTTCTCCAGGATTAAAGAAAACTTTCTTTGTGTTTGATAATTTGCTCTAGCAGATGCATGTAAAACCTGCACAAATAGGAGGAAATGATCTCATGCATAATCCTTTTCTAGGTTTTGGGTGAGGCGGACAAAATCAAGAAGTGGTTGGAAGAGAAGGAGGCTCAACAAAAAGCGTACGTTTTACTTTCACTTGAATTCTTACATCCATGTGTTAACTAATGATGGCAACTTTAAATCTTTAATTCTCAATATATAACTTTAAATCTTTAATTCTCAATATATGGCCTCAAATGTGGATAATGTTGTGTAGAGGAGTTTCTCTAGAGTTAGTTTCTTGTGTGTATTGTATAGCTACAGATGCATTAATATTCAAGGCAACTTTGACATTTTCCTAAGGCAACTTTGACATCTGCACGTGGCATGGCTGGCAGTGGGCTGGGTGGCCCTTCCCGGCAATGAAAAACTAGGGCCTTGGCCACAAAATGTGCTAGGAAGCGTCAAGGCGAGCCTTGCCCGGCCCGGCCATTTTTTTCCCTTTTCTCCATTAGGTCAATCCAAATAGGGCTAGGGCCTTTTTGGCTTGGTGCGGGCTTGGGCCGGTCCTATAAGGACTGAGGCATAGGGCCGAGGCCGGGCTAGGACCAGGGTTGGCTAGCCCAGGCCTGGCCCATTGCACATTTGACATTTTCATAAATTTTTTTGAACATGATTTTTATCTTAAATTAGTAGAGCCTTGACACTGTGCAGTCATCTATGTGTGCACATTATTAATGATTCATTGTCTCCTGTGAAAGTCTCTAAATAATTAGACAAATGGGGAAACTTTTCAGGACACCTGCAATCAATGCGCCTGCATTCAATTCAGAAGAAGTCTATGAGAAGGTTTCAAAACTTCAAGACAAGGTAACTTCGACACATACCCATGCTTCCTTTGGAGTCTGGACAGAAATTCCTGTATCAATATATAACTTAGTATTATAACCTTCTCTAGTTTTGCTGGACGTAATCATTACATAATAGCATTTCTTATTCTCTGATATGTAGGTCGCAGCTGTCAATAGAATCCCCAAGCCAAAACCCAAGATTGATAAACCCCCAAAGAAGGAAACTGGTAGAGCAAAAGTGGAGGACAAGGAAGCATCAAATTCAACCCAAAAAGAAGAGAAGCCTTCTCAGTCGGATTCTGAACCAACCCAAGAAACTGAAAATTCATCTCAAAACAATGTATCGGATATCGATGCTGATCCCCGTGACGAGTTATGAGTGGGACCCGATTTGCAACTTGGCGTGGAGGGGTGTCCTTGTGGTGATGGGGCATGGTAGCTTCTACAGCCAACAGTTTTGATAGGCAGTAGGGCTTTGTAGTTGCGCCTATTCCCTCAAGGATGGGAATGCGTTTCATCTTGTCCTAGAGATCTAATTTTTTAATCATCTTTTTTATGGATATGGCCTATTAAATAACCTCAAAGTTGTCTCTTGTATTGCTGATATGATGGGTTGTGATGTACCCATGTAAGGGATTGGTTTATCCCACATTATTCGGAGTTCAATGTGAATTACCCCACAGAGATAGGGCTCTTTCTTGTTTACATGATTTGCTTATTTCGTTTGGCCCTCAGCTGTCATGCCATCATACAGTGCCCGTCGTTTTGCTTTCTTACAGAGAGAGACCCTTCAACTGCTGATATATGTTATTGATACTCAACTCCAGCATAAGCCTCTGGGAAAGGTTTATATGCTTCCCCCGCATAGGGGATCTGTGCTTCTCCTACCATCTATCCGTCCAATTTTGATCAGGTGAATCACTCATTTTTTTATCTTAGATCTGATGTCTCATAATATTTTATTTTTAATTTTTTTTATACAAATTGTATGAATATGAAATTTGGTATGTGTTATATTCTCATTGGGGTGCACTTATAAAAAATATAAAAAGTAATTTTTTTGATAAAATATAATGATCAAAATGCCCTCTCAAACTTTTAAAGGTATTTTTGTTATTTTATTTTATTGAGAATATATATTTTAATTTTTTTTTACAAGTAGGAGTTTCATAGAGGATTGGATGCCCAAATTTGGTGTCAAAATATTTATATATAAAAAATTTAAAATAAAATAGTGTAGAGACCAAACATTTTGATTGGGGTAATCTTAGCCCTCCATTTAAAATGGACGGTTGGATAAGGAGAAATGTGTAAGTTTTATGTTGTAGGGAAAACATAGAAAGCTTGCCATTATAGTAGTGAATTGGTTTATAAAGCACGTTTCCATAAATAGCGCAACCGTCTAAAAATAGCACAAAGTCTATAAATAATAACTCTATCTTATAGAAGGACGTCCATCAAATGAAATGATCTATAAAATTTATTTTTCTTTTTTAGATTAATTATATTTATTTATTTTTTATAATTTACAAAAATATGATATAAAAGCGTTTTCTAATAATTTTTAAATCATGTTTATTATATTATCATAATTAATAATTAACATTGATAATCAAATATTGTATTTTATATATCATTTTATTTTAATTATAAATTATATAATGTATTATTTTTTCTTGTAGATATAAATAAGATTTTTTAAATTAAATGATTTTAAAAGAAATTGTAAATTTATTTTTATTTGTATAGTAAAATAATTATAAAATATATAATTATAAACCAACAATTTCAATATTAATATATAATATTATAGTTAGTTAGGTTGTGATAATTTTGGATGAATCAAGCGAATCAATAAATGTTTGATACTTTAATGTGATACTGATTTCACTTTATATGGGATTTTTTTTTTTTATCTAATATGGAAGTGTCTTCTAATATTTTTAAATTATTTTGATGTAATGTTATAATACTGTAATACAATTAATATGTATACAGGCATCTAGATAGGAAAACATCTCATTATTCACCTATTTTTGTAAAATAATGAAAGTACATAATGCATTACTCCTATTTTATTTTATAAACTAAAAAAATACTATTTTTAGAGATTTATAGTGATTTTTTGAAAAACTTTGGGACAAAACTTGCCAATTTTGTCGATTCTCTGATTCGACATGCCGATCTATCGATCCGACATGGGTATAGATGAGGAAGACCCGGGTCACTGATCCGTTTTTTTAAACCTTAGTCTATACAATGTGTTGCACATAGTGTCCAAAAGATTCTAGGGTAGCAGCAACAAAATTAGGAACAGCACTGTGACAACCTATATAATATGTTGGTCCCCAACCTCCCCATAATTTGGAATATATAATGGGCATCATGGCTATAATAAGAAGCATCAATAGACCTAAAAAAAAAGATCCCTAAAAGACAATTCATCAGTCAATTCATCCGGCTTATTCTCTTCATATCACTCTAAGTATCAGTCACAACCAGCGTTTTAAAAAACTCCGAGTCGAACCGGACTCGCCCGATTCGACTCGAAAATCGCGAAAAGGGACCGGATCGGTTAAAAAATCGGAAATCGTCCGGTTCTAGAGAGAACCGGACGATTCCGCACAGTGACTCGCCGATTCATTATGCAGAATCGGCGAGTCCGTGAAGAACACGGGTTGCACATTGTTCTTCACGGGATTCTTTGAAATTTGTCATTTTTTGATCATTTTTCTTGTTTTTTTTGGCATGTGATCTGATTAGCAGGCTGTAAACAGCTTTTTTCAGCTTTTTCAAGGATTAAATGGTGGAAAAATTTGTTGTTTTTGGATTACGAAAAATTTGGTGTTTAGGGTTTCCGCCTTTTCTGAAAGTTTCATGCCAAATAGGGCATGAATCTTTCAAAATTTGTAGGCATTTTGATCTTAAAGCTGTGAATCAAAACCTTTTGTTACTAATTTGTGATAATCGTTGAGAAAAACTGAACTTTTTGGAAATTGAAAGCTTCGGTTCACAAAATCAGGTAAGAAGTTTGGGTTTTTTTTTTTTCCGCCATTTGATTTATTTCACGGCATATTTTGAACATAATGAGTTCAATAATTAGGGTTTTTAATCTTTATTGTGTCTAGTATGATTTAAAATTTTCAATTTTACGTAATCTGGTCAATTACAGCAAGAAATTTGAGATGAACACTGAGATGTCTGCGGAACCAAAATTCCGCTGTTTTTTTTTTTTTTTTTCCGCCTTTTGATTTTGTTTTTATGATATATTAGAAATAATGTGTTAAAAATTTAGGGTTTTGATTCCTTATATTGTTGTTTATTAGAAAATATACTCAATTGGATGTAATTTAT